CCTGCAGCCCTCTGCCAGTACACCCCCCCCCCCGGGGTTTATTTTCACTGGCAGAGGGTGCAGGAAGCCATTGCGGCCAAAAATGAAGCTCGGGAGAGTCCCACAGAAGTGCCACAAACCGGTCCTTCACTGTTTCCAGGATGGTCCAACAGGCCAGAATGTTTTTCAACCTCAGCAACTATAGGATGTGTAGACTTCAACATGGGCTTGAAGTTTAACTGCACACATCTTAAAAGTTGCTGAAGTTGAGAAACATTGATGTAGAATACGGAAACAAATTGGAAAATAATCTTGATAAATTAAAAAAAGTGACAGTCTGAAAAGAGCAGAATGAAATTTAATACAGACAAATGCAATGTTTATGCTTAGGATTAAAAAAAGGTGTACACATATAAAATTGGGAACAGTTTGGCTATTAGGTACAAAAAGAATGTGAAATTGCAGTTGATGACAAGGTGAATATGAATAAGCAGTAGCCATGAGTTTACTAAAATATACAAATACAATTTTAGTCTGCATGAACAGCAGCATCCTATAATTATCCAAAAGGAAGATGACTCTGAATTTAAGATAATTTCCTCCAAAAGAAAATCCAGCAGACAAGAAAGTTAAGAGAATACAAAAAGATTCTTCTAAGTTGTTCAACTGCCCTGCTTTGCAGTTAAGACTGTCAGATGTCATTGAAATTAATCTTGGAAATCCTGTTTCCCCCTACAAATAGGTCCATTAAGAGCCACATTGGCACAGTGATTAGAATGCAGTACTGAAGGCTACTTCTGCTGATCAGCCACTGCCAGCATTTTGGCAGTTCAGGTCTCACTGGCTCAAGGTTGATTCAGCCTTCCATCCTTCCAAGGTGGGTAAAATGAGAACCTAGATTGTTGGGGGCAATAGGCTGACTCTATAAACCGCTTAGAGAGGTCTGTAAAGCACTGTGAAGCAGTATATGTGTGATTGTGTGTGTGTGTGTGTGTGTGTGTGTGTGTGAGGGCTGCTAGGGGCCACAATAAAATGAAATAAATTGAATGGATGGATGAACACAGATTAAAATATATTACTTGTAAAATAAAACATCTATTTTGGGAAATTAATTAATTCCTTGTATGATAATAGATACCAAGGTAATTTGACATTGTCTTTTTCCAGGATATTTTTTTTGTCTGATCCTTATTTACTCAAGTGTTGACCAAGCAATTCTGTTTAGCTTCTTCAAAAAAGGTCGATCAGATCCACCCATCTGCTGGAACACACTGCTGCTAATACTGAGGATGGGCTGTTATAGCCATGTTGCTCCATGTAAGCATCTGTAAGTGGCATGCAAAAAGGATTAAAAACTCTATGACATTGTTAGAGTGCATATTTTTCAAAGGATTTTTCCTTAGAAAGCATGATTGTCATGGATTGTTGATTCCAAATGACGTCTCTTTTACTTTCTCTTTCTCTTACACTAAGAAACAGCTTGCCTTCAGAAGTTGTAGGTGCTTCATCGCTAGAAATTTTTAAGAGAAGACTGGGTTAGCCCCCTATCTGAAATGTCCTCAGATAAATACTTTGGTGGTGGTAGTAGCAGGAGTAGGTGTAGGAGTGGATTTATTTAGGATTTATTTAGTAAAGGCAGAAAAAGCTAGGGATAAGAAATCACCTTACTAAAACAAACAGCATGCTCTAAGTAGACAGATTTTTCTCATCGTTTTATTATCTAAAATGGGCATGCTTTCAAAATTATCATAAAGTATTGAGCTAAGAATGATACATAATACAAAGATTAAAATAAATGAGTAAAAATAATGTCATATTTTAGATTTATGTTCCTACCTTCCATGTACCAGTTTCTCTTTAAAAAAAAGGTGAACAATCTGATTTAATTAGAAGAAAAGCTCATTGCTTTCACATACAAAACACGACTGAAATGCCAGTTGCAATCCCAAGACAAGACAATATCCATCTCAGAGGTTTTCACAAGCTTTTGAGCTGGAGTTCTGAACTGGAGGCTTTCATTTTTAAAGCTATTTCTGTCAGGTAAAGGGTGGAGAAGGCGTTTTGAATGAGGCACCATAACAAAGCTTTGGTCTAATCTTAGAAGCTTAAAAAAAAAAAGCCTTTGAGCCAATGTTTGTTCTTGGCAACTGCCTGGAAAAGTCCCTGCAGTTTTCTTGGCAAGAATTTGGAAGTGGATTGACACTGAATGCTTACTAGAGCTAAAAGACTCACCCAGCTCATTTTATGCCTAAGGCAGAACTAGAACTTCCTTTCTCTAGTCTGGTGCCTTAACTACTAAGTCAAACTGATTGGATTAGAAGCTGTTGGTATAGGTTAATTATTATGTGTTTGTTCCTTGTTCCAACGTATCCCAGGACTTGATGTAATTTACTAAAAGAGGAAGGTTCCATTATGCACTGATTTTTTTTCCTTTGTACTGGAGAACTTTGAAGAAAACAAGTTATATCCTGGTATTTCTACTGTATAATGCCCTGTATAATATAAATAGAGAGCTGAGTCAATCTTGAGTGAGTAAGAATAAAACTGTTGGCAGTAGGCAGAAATAGTGTTATGACCTAGGGGAAGGATACTGTAAAATCTCCAGTCAGAGGTGGTATTTGCCAGTTCTCTGAACTACTCAAAATTTCTGCCACCAGTTCTCCAGAACTGATCAGAACTTGCTAAATACCACCTCTGGATCTCAGTAGCTGAACTGCCTGACAGTATCAGAGAGGCACTTCACTTGGTTGTACTTGTCTACTAATAAAGAGTTGGATTCACATATCTTGAGTCCTGCCTCTTCAATCGGCCCCAGTTTAACAGCCTTCCCCTCAAACCAACAAATTCATGGATATAATATTATATGTATATTTCTGAATGCATTACTGTACTTACTACCAAAGATAATCTGGTTTGTTTGTACTGCTACTTAGATAAGAGTAAAGTGTGTTTGCACTCCGTGCACATTCTTGGTACTTTGTGATGTTGAGGTTTATATACATCCATACATACGAATTTCAACTTCATCAAGTACCAAGAATGTGCACAGAGTGCAAACACACACACACACACACTCAATGAATGAGTTCATTCTCAAAGATATTCTAAAACAGGGGTCCCCAAACTTGGCAACTTTAGCAAGTTGAAATCCACAAGTCTTAAGGTTGCCAAGTTTGGAGACCTCTGCTCTAGAAGTTCAGCTGGATGAAAGAACAAGCACAGCACTGCATACACATACCACTTAAACACATCAAGCCATCATCCATATATTGTAATTATTACTTTTTGAGATCAATATTATTATTGATATGTCATAAACAGTAATTTATAAGCCACCATGGTTAGTTTCACAAAAAAGTCAGAATGAAACAATCATATTATAGCTTAGTGCAATTTCTATTTCCAACCAATGACTAAAACAAAGTCCCTTTTGAAATTTCATATCTGAAAAGGGATTTGAATTTGCATCACCATAATTTAATTTACCTTACTAAATTCTATGCTCGAACTGAGATTATATTTGACTTTTGAGTAGTGTGTATAGGCCATATTGCTCAAAATATTAATGTGGACAAATTAAAAACACATTTCATGTATACCTAACTAGGAGAACATATTTTAGTATATTGTTAATTTTTCCTTGGGTCACACTAAAATTCAATTATTTGGGATTGCCTTTTAAAAGGCTGTGGAAATTTCACCTAAAACTTTGGGAACTATTTGCCATTATAAAAATCACTTATTATTGTTGCATACAAATGCAGAATATCAACACCCTTCATTTATTGAAGTTCTTCCTAAATTACTAGACTATGACTTGCATACATTAGATATTATTAGGGGTGTAGTTTGTGCATTTTTATAAGGCTTTCATCTATTTCCAGCATAATTTGCCCATAAGGAGAGGCCAAAATTGAAAGAAGCTATCAAAAAATTAATCATGTTCATCAGAAAGTAGATTAAAATGCAGATTTCTAAAGCCAGGAATTTCCAGTAACCTCCTGGTCAATAACATCTGAACATTTGACGCCATGATTCTAATTTGGATGAGACAGTTATTGCTTCTCACGAGGCGTCATGTTTCAAATGCTTTCAGATAATCCAGCCAAATATAACTCATTGTAGCATTCACATAATATTTCCCCTGTGCAGCTGAGAGCCAGGGAGCTGGTCAGATCACAAAATATTCCATTAGATATGTTTGAGGCATGCATAATGAGAACCAGTGTCAAAAGATAAAGGAGCACTTTTATGCAAAAAATGCATGGACATAGAAGGAAGAAGTTTATTTCTCCCCTGTAAACTTAACATCCTAAATTATAAACTAGATAAGCATGGCATGTCCCATAGATAATCTGTGTCTCTTACATCTATTTTATTATTCCAAGATTACACCATTAAAATGAAATAATAATTTGAATTTTTAATCAGCATGATGATTTCTGTAGTTTTTTTTTATAAAAAAGTAAAGATTGGTATAATGTATTATATTTCATCTTCATGTTCATATTTTGCCTTAATCCAACTGTAAAAACAAAAGCCAAACCAAATAAAAAATATATAAATTCACTCTGCAAATTTGAGCCTGCCTTACTCCAGTGACATTATTTATTTTACTATCACACTTTGGTGGCCCTTGCTGCAATAAAAATAATTAAAAGTTCAGACTTTTAATTGATAGCAACAAGTTATCCTCTCTACAGCAAGTAGAAAATATGCCACATTAGCTTTTAGTGGAATGCTTAATTCTTGAATTTTCACTGTGATATTGCATATTACGCCAACATCTTATTTTAAGAAATTTTATCATTAAAGTCACAAACTGGCACATTTCTTTATTATTTTTAAATAGTTTTTGATTAAAATATTCTGAAATTAAGAATAACAATGGGAGAATGATTTAAAAAATACCCAGCTTTGAACTGGCAGCCTTGGTAACAAATATAAAGGGCAGCATCTTAACTGACAGTTCCAGGTGCCTCTTTGTGAGAAGCGATCCAAAGATCACTATTCTCTCCATTGCATTTCTGATGAGCCTGCAAACTGCAGAGGACCTCACCTAAACAAGTGGTAAGAAAGACCCATTTTAGGATAGATCATTGCACTAGGCTATACTTTTCTCCAGAAATTGTGCTTGCCCTCTATGCTCTAATATGTTAATCTATTATTATTTTGAAGATTGTATTATTGACTAAACTGCTTAGTTGGCTGCATTTTTTCCACAGGTTCTAAAGCACCTGAATTAATAATCACAGACTGAACATTTAATAGATTATAATTTTAATGTTGTAGAATGTAGCAAGTTTGGAATCTTTCTGAGTTTTATTGATTACAAATTAAAAATACCTTTAGTATTTTCTGACCATTTGCAGTGTTATTAGCTGGACAGCACAATCTTATCACCTGAGCATAAACTCCATTGTCTTCAAAGCAACTAGCAATAGCACTTAGACTTATATATCGCTTTACAGTACTTTACAGCCCTCTCTAAGTGATTTACAGAGTCAGCATATTTTCCCCAACAATTTGGGTCCTCATTTTACCCACCTTGGAAGTATGGAAGGCTAGTTACAGAATTGCAATTTGAATCAATCAGTTTAACTAAAAGTCTTATTGCATGATGCAGTGAAGGATTTGCTCAGAAAAGGAAAAGATTGCTTTTCTCGATAAACTGTTAAAGAAAAGCACTGTTCTGACTGCCAATTTTGGAAATTACCAATGTATTTTTTTGTTTCAATGGAATCATGTTGTTTTCTCTGCAGACCTGGTAACAGTAAATTCGCTCATACCTTTTAGCAAAGGAACTACAGTATGTTCCTTGAGGGTGGGGGACATCATGATACATCATGAAGTCAAGGATAACATTTTCACCCATTTATATCTGTGTAAGATGGGTGTGCCACAAAATGAAAAATGCATATCTTTTTCTGTGTATCTTGACTGAAAGCTTTCATTTTGTTGATTAAACACTCAAATATGGATACTGACTCAGTTTTGATATTAGTGACTTAGAAAAAGTGAGATGCATGCCTAATCTAATTCACCTCTTAAAATTCCACATCCTAAAATGGGTCAAAAGTCTATTGTACTTCATGTCCATGAATTGTCAGTTGTAAATCTGTCCAATATATAATCATTGATGAACAAAATTTCAGAAAAAAACATCAATAATGGGACTAATTTTAACATAAGGCATCATACATAAGGCCTTAATAATATTATAGCCCAGCATTTATATAGCTATAAAATATATTATTAGATTCAAATATTATTTCAGGATTATGCTTTAAAAATTCTGGGGAAGTAAATTAGGAATGCTGATTTACAAATCTAAATGTTGTTTTCCTAATGGAATGTATGATCTCCTAATAAATGTACTACAGCATGTAATTATCATGATACAGCAGCTTATCCTGATCAACTTAAGATAAACTGCTCAAAATAAGTGCCAAAGAACAATTAAGTCTTGTTCTGCATAACATTGTGCAACCTGATCATATATATATTTATTTATATATAGGATCAGGTTGCACAATGCTATGCAGAACAAGACTTAATTGTTCTTTGGCACTTATTTTGAGCAGTTTATATTAAGTTGATCAGGATAAGCTGCTGTATCATGATAATTCAGTGGAATGCCTTCATAAAAATACATTTATTAACTCACCCATGTGCATGCCAACATAAGTAAAGTCCTAATTTAGCCACTGAACTTTATTTCTGAAGTTAAATTATAAAAGATAATGTTACAGTCCAGCCATGAGTGGCATGGTGGCCTACTGGTGAAGGCGCTTGCCTTCCACACAGAGGTGGGCAGCTGCCGGTTCATACAGGTTCATCCAAACTGGTTGTTGCAATTCTGCATGGTTCAGAGAATGCAAGATTGCTGCTTCTGTGATGAGGGGACCCAGAAAGTATCTGGGTCAACCTCACCCAGCTTCTCTTCCTCTCACAGCCAGCTTTCCCAGTCTGACTTGATGCAGGCTTCCTCCCAGGCCCCTGCCTGTTGTCCCCTGGCCAGAGAAAGCTAGGCAAAAAGCCAGACCTCACCGGTACCCAGCCTCGCTGACAGCAGCCTTGGAATGGGCCTATGTGAGCTGCTTCCTGCATGAAGATAGACTGGGGAGGAAGAATGTGAGGCAGGCAAAGGGGCGAGTGAGGGGTATCCACAGCATGATGGGCCTGGTGGACTTTCTAAGCCTGCCTAAAGCATTGTGTGTGTGTGTGTGTGTGTGTGTGAGAAAGAGAGAGAGAGAGAGAGAGAGATCCAATCCAATCCAATATTGGAGAATTATATCAGGACTGGCAGCAGTGTGCTCTCTCACTCTCACGCATGGGTTCACACAGACACAGACATACACAGAAACACACATACACAGAGGTTGGATCGTTCTTTCTCCCCCCCCCCCAAGACCCCTGGATTCCCTCCCCAACCCTGCCTGTCCCATATAGGTACCACCCACACAAATGACAGAATTGGCCACACCCACTCAATTACATGACCCTCCTCTAGCCACACCCACCCTGCCAGTCATTAGGGCAGAGAACAAGTTGTTAAAAAATTACAGCCTACCACTGGGCAGATGTTTCTCTCCTAGGGCACAAACTCCACATAGGTATCAGCAAGGTCATCTGGACAGGAAATGCTCAGCTCCATCCAGTCGCCCTAACTCTGCCGTGAATTTAGGGCAGAGCCCTATATACGTCTACTTAGAAATCCTGACAAGCATATCTCCAGGTTTAAGAATATATGATTGTAGCCTCGCTTATAAATATCACTTCTTTCAATGAACTGCTTTCTGATATATTCAGTCAAGCATCTTAAGGATTTAATGTATCTTTGACCATAATTGATCAACATTCCATAACATGTTTCAAAATCTTACTTTGATACATTGTTTTTAAGCAAAAGAATATTGAAAGTTAGATATTGTGAAATATGAAAGGCTTAAAATGCCATCTTTTGTTTGCTATTTGTTTGTTGTTAACTCTTTTAGGTATTAAAGCTATGCACCTGGGATTTTTCTTCTAATTTCCTCCCAAATCACATCACTGTAAGGAAGGATATTAGCAGATACTGGCTAAAATTAGTTGATACTACTGATTGTAGATTAAGACCTAGATTGCCCAGATGCCAGTTTAGTGCCTTACCTATTATCCCACACTGGATTTTAGGCTGTTCCTGATCCAATATATTAATCATCATGCCATTGGTGGTGCAGCAAATAGAATGTAGTACTGCAGCAGTTTGGCACAAAGAATCTCACCAGGGTCAAGGTTGACTCAGCCTTCCATCCTTTTGAGATCAGTAAAATGAGGACCCAGATTGTTGGGGGCAATATGCTGACTTTGTAAACTGCTTAGAGAGGGCTTAAAGGCACTGTGAAGCAGTATATAAGTCTAAGTGCTATTGCTATTGCTATCTACACAATTTCTATGGATAGATACAGTGATTGCTACGAGACACCAAATCCCAAAAGTTGGTGGTAGAAAGGTGATGATACTTTATCCAATTTATCAACAGAAATATGTGCTCCATATACAATAGAGCTATACTTTAAATATGGATGCACATTTAAATTGGCCCAAAATTGTACATCTGGGTTTATCAGAAATCATAGCAGGCTCAGTCAGGACACTGTGTTGTGTGTATAATATCATGATAAGAACAGTAAAGTGGAACAAGTATGCTATGCCGAGATATGTCCTGCATGATCTGCCAAACTTTTCTGTTACATGCTCTTTGGATAATGCTCTTCGGATAATGTTACTAGAATCTAGAGGTCATTGCACTGTTTCATATGAATCAATAAGAACCTGCCAAGTTTACAAAACACCTCAGAAAGCACACGAAGTTATCTCTTAAGTACTGTACAGCATTAGTAGCCCATCACTCTTAAGTGCAGCATGATAACCCATCTGCCACAGTTCCAGACATTGACCTGAATGTTCTCTTTTACTGTTTTGGTACTGCCATCAAACTATCCATTGGTTTTATGTGAATTTAATACACAATTTGCAGAGATTCGATAGGAAACATATCTTTCCCAAACCCCAAATAGGAGTAATGCTTCTGAAGAAGAGGAAAGGCTGAGTTAAAATGGAAGCCATGGTAAAAGCTGCAATCTCTTTTGATGGAGGCAGCAGGAGTTTTCTTATGCCACATGATCAGCTTTTTTTGGACTTTACAGATCAGGGTTTCTCAACCTTGGTAGCTTTAAGAAGTGTTAGGCACACACGTGCACTCAGCCTGTGCTCACAGAACCGGTTGTTAAATTGGTTGCAGCCCACCACTAGGTAAGGGTACCCCTCGACTTACTGTATGTCTACCATTGAGCCTCAAATCTCTGTTGCTAAGCGAGACAGCTGTTCAGTGAGCTTTCATCCACTTTACGACCTTTCTTGCCACTATTGTTAAGTGAGTAGTTGCAGCTCTTAAGTCACATGGTTGTTAAGTGAATCTGGCTTCCCCGTGGACTTCGTTGGTCAGGTCGCAAAAGGGGATTGCATGACTCTGGGTCACTGAGACTGTCATAAGTAAGAGTCAGTTGCCAAGCATCTGAATTTGGATCACTGACTATGGGCATGCTGCAATCATCATTAAGTGTGAAAAACACTCATCAGTCCCATTTTCCAGGGACTTATGTAACTTGAATGGTCACTAAGTCAGTCACATAATCTGTCATGCCCCTGGTGGAGACTGACTCTGAGGGAGAGGAGGAACAGCTGATGGGGACTGGAAATGTGGCTCCGGAAGTTGTGCAGGAGGCTGGGGAAGGACAGAGGCCGGCTGGGCAGTCAGAGGAGGACCCAGGCCCATCCCTTCTCCATCCTAGGGAATGCAGGGAGAGACGTGGTCTACAGGGGAGGAGAGGGTCTTGATCCTCTTCATAGACTGCAGCTGGATAAGAGGATGGACATGTGTACGGGCCAGTGCTGGAAACAAAGCATGGAAATATCTCTAGTTTATGGTTCCTCTCTTGAGTTTGGCATCCTTCCCAGTGTGTGTTCTGATATCTGTGGACATCTTCAAGCCCTTATCTTGCCTGGTTTGTGTTGTTTTTTACTCTTTATAATTTATAGGCATTTTTAGTTTAAACGGCATTTCCTCCTTCTTGTAACTGCTCATGTGGGAGTTTTTTGTCTCCAGTCAAGGATATTTGGAGCTTGGAAGCAAAGTGAAGGAACAAAAGGGGCTTTACCTGTTTTTTTGTGACTGTGTTTATTTTGTATCCCACCCTAGGTCATCATACAGTCACTAAATGAATCTGGCTTCCTTGAATCTCCATTGTTAAGAGAGACAGCTGTTCAGTGAGCTTGGACCCATTTTATGAGCTTTCTTACTGTTAAGTGGATCGTTGTTTAAATCAGTCAGATGATTAAGAGTTTTGAAAGTGAGGCTATCAGTATGAACTGCATAGGAAAGCCAATTGGCAACCATCACAATTGTTGGAGCAGTGATATTATAAGGGCATCGGGTTGTATGTGCAACTACTCAAGCTACTGCATCCTGGACTAGCTGTAACTTCCAAATGTTCTTCAAGGGCAGGACCATGTAGCACACACATTGCAATAGTCCAGTTGTGATGACCCAGAGTGTAACACAAATGTAACCAATTCCAAAATGTAAATAAATGTCATTTAATGCCTCCAACTTGGGTCTACTGTTCAACAATTCTCAGTTAGAGGTAAAATGTGCTCAAAAATAGTCTTCAAAGGAAAGCAATACAGTCCCAACTTAATGAGCAGATAGAAGGTTAATCTTCACTTGTTACTTCAGATCATCAGCTAACGATCTTAGGGATTAGGTCTGTCTTCTCACAGATCCCCTTGTCTTTGGTCAGTGATCTTAGAAATTAGGCTACTGCGTGAATTAGCAGGGCTGCACTCTGAGATCAGGACCTCCGATGTGGGATTTGATGATCATAGTTGATTGATGATGTAGGCGGCAGTTTGGGCAGCAGTTTTACTGGAAGGTTAGCGCTCCGGGATCAGGCTATCAGCCGTTGGAAGTTCGGCAATTGGAGCTCTGCCATTGATCGAGGCTACAACGGGTTTAGGGCTACAGTGCTGCTCTAGAAATTAGGAGCTTCGGCTCCTCAGGATCTCCGGTGCAGGCAATGGTTTTATAGGTTTTTATAGGTGGGAAAGGCTCCAATGGGCTCTGGGCTACAGTTAGAGGTAAAATAAAAAACCAAACAAACTACAATGACGAAATTTCCTCAACGGAAAGGATAAGTAATTACCAAATTCAAGGAAATAACAAGGCACAGTCTGTTGGAAGGATGCCAATCAAGATAACTTCAGCCTAAAATAAAACATGCTGTTTTGTAATTGTCTCTCTTATATACTAGTCTCCACAGCTGCAACCATTGAGGAGAATCATGGGCTGTCTCCTCTCTCACAAGCCAAGTTGTTGCCTTCTCCGTTCCTCCCTGTGTGTCCTAGGATGCAGAGGGGATGGGCCTGGTTCTTCCTCTGACTGGCGAGTTGGCTTCTGCCCTTCCCCAGCCTCTTCCACAACCTCCAGTGCCACACCTCCACTCCCTGTTGGTTGTTCCTCCTCTCCCTTAGAGTCCAGCTCTACCAAGGGCATGACACTAGTTGATAGGTAAATAAGATATGACTAGACTATGAATAGGGCCTCCTATTCTGCCCTCCTGAACCATAAAGAACCATAAATCAGTATGACTGTACATAAAATGGAATTCTGCAAAGGCCCCTTTGAATATAGCAATAGCACTTAGACTTATACCACTTCACAGTACTTTATAGCCCTTGCTAAGTGTTTACAGAGTCAGCATATTGCCCTCAACAATCTGGGTTCTCTTTTTTCGGCCCTCTGAAGGATGGAAGGCTGAGTCAACCTTGAGTCTAGTGAGATTCGATCTGCCAAATTGCAGGCAGCTGACTGTCAACAGAAATGGCCTGCAGTACTGCACTCTAACCACTGTGCCACCACGGTTCCTTGTTTGTTATCTGTTCATAAAGTGGGAACTACGAGTCCAAGCTCGCTTCCAAGATAAAAGCCAGAATTGTATGGGGGAATGTGACCCTATCTAGAACTAAAACAACATTTCTCTGGAATCAGACGACTTTCAAACCCAAAGCTACTCCTTCTTGCTGGGATTAAACGTGATTCAGTGCCTCTCTATCCAGATTCTAGCATCTTGACACAGGAGCATCACTTGGACAGATTCATCTGTTTTACCCTGATTGTAGCAAAATATTTTTTTCTGTGTCAATTAGCTGTAGGGGAAAAAATCAGATTTATTTCCTAAATCTGTTTCATATTCATTGATATAAACATACATATAAATCCCAGGAAGGGACTGTAGTAAGTATAAATTGGCATGAACAAGTTCTCAAATTTAAGCCATATTCAATCAGGAATTTCTCCTTGAAATTTTGAAGAATAAGAACAAATCACTTTTTACTATATTGGATCAGACTGAAAAGTGGCCAGAACTGAAACAAAGCAGCTTCCCTTGTTATTTCCTAAGATCTCTAAGTATTGCTGTTTTCAACTCAGCCTCTTCAGCCACCATGACCATTGTTGAAAAATACTAAAAGCTGTAGATCAATAACTTTTCAAGGGCCACAACTTCTTTCCCTTGATCTTGCAGAAACATACCTTCTTCCTAAAAATAAAAACAACAATACATCTCTGATAGTACTACACTGTATATTTTCCAGGTTAAACATGGAGCAAGGATCAAGCCTTCTTTTTTGCTCTATGCTGCTGCTGGTGATGCTTAGTAGTAACCATGAAGTTGCTGCAGAAGAAAACTCTCCACAACCTCAAGGATCTTGTGCAAATTGGATGGCTGGAGCACCAGGTCACCCAGGTCATAATGGAGTACCAGGGAGAGACGGGCGGGATGGAAGAGATGGCCAAAAGGGAGAAAAAGGAGAGCTAGGTAAGAAGCTTAAAGTTTAGCTCATTTCTGTGAGAACGGTACGCTTGATGTGCAGTATTCTCTAATCTACTGTCCTCCAGGTGTTTTGGAACACAATTCTGGAGCTCGCTAAGGATTATGGGAAGTGTTGTATAATATATGTCGGTGACACCAAGTGAGTAAGGCTGCTTTAATTCATTTCGATCAGACTTACAGTTTAATGGGATGGAGATGATTATTTATACCATTGTTTCTTAAACTTAGCAACTTTAAAATGTTTGGACTTCAACTCTAGGAATTTCCCAGCCAGTATAGCTGGCTGGGGAATTCTGGGAATTGAATGCCACATATCTTACAGTTGCCAAGGTTGAGAAACACCAATTTACACCAGGAATTCTCAAGATAGTCCTTTAAAAAAAAAATCTTTAGATTTATAGGAAGAACATATAGAAATATAGAATGCTATAGATGCTCCAGAAACAGAATGTTGATGTTAAAAGAAAATTTGAATAGTGTTGGTCCTGGGTCATTAGGTACACAGAAAGTCAAACAAGGTGGATGAAAGAAAAACTGATGTAGATTTAACTGACTGGAAAAAATGTGTTTATTTAAGAATATTGTATCTAGTTTCTCTTTTCTTTTCAGGACTTCCAGGGCAGAAAGTAATATTTGAACAATGTTGCTTGCAGCCTTCCTGGTACCTTTCAGATTTGTTTGGCCAGCAACTCTTTCCAAAAACATCTGCTGGAAATTTTGAAAGTTGCATCCCAAATGCATCTGGACAGGTCATATCACAGCAGATAAACAATTAAAAAATATTCTTTTTAATTGTCATTTTATGACAGTAATAGAATCCAATAATGAAGGAAGGCACAAAGTAAGAACAACGCTGTAAAATACATTCCCAGACTATATCAAGTAGCATATTTAGGAACAAATTAAACATGGCATCAGATATTGAATGTATATATATTTTCTAGAAGAGGATAATTAGTTTTTTCTTCTCATGGCTTTCTCCACAATATATTTTAACGTGACAGGCGAAAGAAAGAATAGCAGGTAATTAAAAATATAATTTTAAAGTTGAATTCTTCATTGAACCCAGGGAAGAAAAAATCATGTTTACACCAGAGGTGGTATTTAGCAGGTTCTGACCAGTTCTGAAGAACTGGTAGTGGAAATTTTGAGTAGTTCGGAGAACCGGCAAATCCCACCTCTGACTGGAGATTTTACAGTATCCTTCCCCTGCCATGTCTGCCAAGCAACTCCACAGAATCAGAAGTAAAAAATTTGAGTCCCACCACTAGTTTACACACATTAATTTTAACTTTCAAAAACTACTAGACAATATAGTAAGATAAAACCCAACAAATTAAGTATTAATTTTTCAAAAAAGAAGTGGGGATGACAAAGGAGTAGAAGTTTCTAGGAAATACCATAGACTAAATAACTTAAAATAAAATTAACTTTTTTTATTTTGGATTTTAGGGAGGTATTGAACTGACTTTGACAAAAAAAAAACATGTATCAACAATTCACTGCTGCAAATCAGTGCATCCTTTTGTTGTGTATAATTATTATTTTAGTTATATTATATGGTGAAAGTTTTCATAACTGGTGGTTTGACAGATTTCTTTCTAGTTCTAGAAATATACAAACTGCGGATATCACATAGGAGAACAAATATATCCTGAATAAATTGTGATTGTTATTAACTGCTTTAGAATGTTAGTGGAAGGATATAAGCCAGGTATCAAATATACAAAAACTGTGATTTAGGCAGAGGAAAATCTATATCAGGATTACATCATTGTGCTGGCTACCCAGCACACATCATTTAATTACATGGGTCTCAAAAGTTTTAGCAGTATATAGATTTAGCCTTGTCCAGGATGAAGAGACATCATTCCACCTTAATAATGACACACAGTTCCCCTTGGGTAGCATTTAGCACGTTGGAGAGCCAGTTGGTTTTTGTATAATTGCTTGTCTCATTCTAACAAGTTCTTGATTTACTGCTGCTAAGGCATTAACAGTAGTGTTCAAGGACTGTGAAATGAGAGCTGCAAGTTCATTAACTTTAATCATGATGTGCCCCACTCCAGCAGGGGAAATTAAAGATACTCCATCGTCCCAGTATTAAAAAGCACTCCTTTTTTTGCCATCTATGGTACCTTCCAAGTGTAATAATTTAAAACTACATGAGTGGGCAAAGTATATCAGTGATTGCATGACCTCTGTAGATTAAAATAAATAAATAAATAGATCAATGAATAAGTAAAAGTGGGCAAAGTGGCTTTAAAATAATAATACAACCAAACTATCCCTAGGCAACATCTTTTTAGCCAATTGAGGGGAAGCTAAGGCCACACACATGTTCCACATGTTCCATATTCGGTGCACCAATTTGCAATCCTGTAGCATTCCCGCAATTTGTAAACAGAGACATTGAGCTTTCTTTCTTTTCAATATAAAGTGATTTTGCTACATTTTCCCAATATTGTTTTATCTGTTCTTCCCATCTTGAGATACCGTCTCTCTTTTTTTGTGAGATGTTTTCTCCCAACAAAAACCTGCTGATTTGACTGTCAGAACAAATAAGGGTATTATGCAAACACAACTATTAAATATCTGCTACCCGTATGTTGCCATTCATGTCATGATTGGTTATGATGCTTACTGGCACTTTTAGCCTTCATCCCTGTCTCATGATAACTAAAAGCAATATTATGAGAATCCTCATTATCATTACCATGAAGAGCTTATCATCAGTTAAATAGGATAAAGAGATATTTTTAATATCTTCCTAAAAGCATCTAGCTGATAATAACATGTCCTAATAAAGGCTCTATATACAATGGGAATCCACCATGTCCTTGTACTGGCAAAGTAGAACAAAGCCAACTATCATATCCCTTATTTATTGATGCATACTTATGCATCCATGAGAGATACTGTAACTATTCGTGAGACCTCAGTGTTCTGCAGAAATTACTGCAATCAAAATAAATGGCAGACTGAAAAAGATGCTTATTTAGGAGATAGAAGATGGTTAGAGTATCATTATCCTTTTTCTCATTTAAAATACTTATTTCTTCTTCTACCAGCTCTTCCAACCTTGCTAGTTTACTAACTGGTTTTTGATAACATTCTTTCTTTCCTATTGATCAAAATGCCTCTCAAAGTATTATCTTCTATCCTATCTAATTTTTTATGGACAGATAATAGATTTTTTCAGAAGTAGCTGGGCAATCCATTCCCATTCCTCAATAGAAACGCTGCTATCTCCTCCATTACATAAAACAGCATGGAGTTTTAATTGGTAAACTGATCTCTTACATCAACTAGCACCTGGATTCCCTTTACAACTAAACTAGATCTGAGGACAACCTAACCATATGTGCCTTGAGGTATAGAAATGCAAATTTCCAGGGTATTTTTTTTCCAATTTTTGATACAGTTATGATCACAGAACTAGAGATACAGATATCTAAGTTAATTGCTTTTGGAGTGCCCCTAATAGCACTAGTGAATCTTTAGGGTTACCTGCTTCCAATGGTATTTGTCTATTTAGCAACACATTTTAGGAGACTATTATTTATAGACATATCAGACTCATATCCTGTCTACCACCTTCCCTTCCTATGGAACAATATTTCTCGTGTGATTAGAACGGCTCCATATCTTCTGGAGCTGGCAGGGAGTGGGACAACTGCAATTACTGATTAATGGGCTCTCATAGCCTCATATTTAATAGCAGTTGAATATGGGGATCTTATTTGTCTAAAAGTTGAACACCAAAATTTACAACTATGAGGGAGATGAAGCTAGGAGTCATTCTACCTGATCTTGATGGAGTATTATAACAAAACCCATAACTCTGAGAATATGGGAGGAAGTCCTTGGAATTCATGAGTAATAAATTCTGATAAACAATCACAGGATTTAACTCCAACTATAATATTAGTTATAAGAACTGTTATTGCCATTTATAAGAAGACTTGTTAATTTTGGTGTCTTGTCCTTCTGAAAGGAAATAGAGGGCAGTATAATATAACCAGCTAAGAGTCTTCAGTTGAATGAGAATGAACTATCCTAATAAAAAATCAATTTACTTTATAGGTGGACCTGGTGAAAAAGGAGATAAAGGATCTTTAGGAGTGGCTGGTATTGCAGGTCCTCAAGGAGTGCCAGGTATTCCAGGAAACCCAGGGTTAAAGGGCGATAGGGGGGAAAGTGCCTCTGTCTATCGATCTGCCTTTAGTGTTGGTTTAACATCCAGAGTTTCTTATATTAATATTCCTATCAAATTTACAAAGATCTTCTACAATGAACAAAATCACTATGATACAGTTACGGGAAAGTTCCGAGCCACCATTTCTGGAGTATATTATTTTGCATATCATCTCAGTGTATATGCCTCAGATGTGAAAGTTAGTTTGTTCAAGAAGGACACAGCAATCATAATCACCTATGACCAGTACCAGAAAAACGATGTGGATCAGGCTTCTGGATCGGTTTTACTCCATTTGGCATCGGGGGATGAAGTTTGGCTACAGTTATATGGAGAAGAAGAAAACAGTAGTGTCTATGCTGATAATGTTAATGATTCAACTTTCATGGGATTTTTACTTTACCCTGATATAAATAATGAGTGGTAGAATGGGGATGGACTAGGGAAGATGGAAGAACAGTCAAGCATAATATGGACTCTATTTTTCTTGTAGATTTCTGGTAACGTTAGAAACACAAAATAACCTTGAAGGTGATTCAAATTTGAAAGTTTATTGCTTGGATATTATAATAATTTGTATGTGTAAATCATCAAATATTTGTATTCCTTAACATCACTTTAATGGTTTTCAGTTCACACATTCAGTTGTCTGTCATGCAATAATCAGATACAATAAAATAAGCATATGCACAAGCATGTGTGTGCATGTACACACACAGACACAAGATTTCAACCTGTACTTATTCAAGATAATGTTATCCTATGTTTATTTATAGTTACAGCAACAAAGAATAAACACTGGATTTACACAATGTATTAAGCCTTAATGAAATTTGGTTTTGGATTAGCATGTAATATAGATACAGCAACCGTGGTTCATAAACCATATTTCATAGCATGGCATGCTGTGTGAATTTAGCTAATTATGATTTTTTTAAATAAACTATGGTAATACCATGTTGTGTGAATCAAGTCAGTGAGATAAAGCTTTAGCGCCACAATTGTCAGAATGATTTTTGTTTAGACTTAAATTAAAACTCATATCTTTGTTCCTTTAATGGTTCTGTCTGGTTTCTTTCTTTCTTTCTTTCTTTCTTTCTTTCTTTCTTTCTTTCTTTCTTTCTTTCTTTCTTTCTTTCTTTCTTTCTT